ATGAAAATAATATAAATCACAGTTTGTCCAAAATTAATTCAAGCCAAGTTTAAGTCAATAAAGCGACCGTGCTAGAACCACGGGACTCGGGGAATGCCTTATACCTTCTCCCCGGTCAACAGAATTCCTTACCCGAACTTTATTTTCGCGGACCGATTAAAATAGAGTCAAACCTTCCTTTGACTAGGGATCCAAATAAATGGTGACTTGGAACACCGAAAAAATCAATTCTAAGTGGCAACTCTGAACAATAAAATAATCCCTATTCAAATTTTGTCACTTTAATTGGAAAAACTCTTTGGCCCATACACATATTATTATTATTTTGAGGGGTAGAAAATGAGGTGTGACAGTAATTAGCACTGATATAACTTATATTATCTTCTTAGAAATTATGCAATTGTCATTCTTAATACAACATACTAAACAATGAATAAACAACAATCCCAACATAACTTATACCAATATAATTTATATCGGCATAACTTATACCGGTATAAATTGTATTCCAACCAAACGATCCCTAATTGTATTGATCTGTCTTTTATATAAAGTTGATTTGTATCCATATCTGACAGTTAGCTAAGAGAAGCCGTGATTAATGAAGCGTGCCTCTGCTCTATAAACCTAGCTAAGGAGTGGATTTTACTAGAGCATCTGCCTTTTTGGCTTCAATTCTTCTCTCTTTTTTTTTTAAAAAAAACCCGGAAGCCAAATTTTAGAAATTTGGGATTATTTATGTTGGGATCGAAATAATATAATGTATGCGGAAGCTAAAAAAGATAACTTTAATGATGGTAAATCAAGCATAAAAAAAATATATCAAAAGAGACTATCATTTAAAGTGATTTGATCAATTAACCTATATATGATTAAAAAAAATAGAAAAACTATTGATGAGAAAATCTCTCCCTAAAAAGATCTCTTTATTGACTTGTTATTGTTGTTGTTCTTGTTGTGAGAAGAAAACATCAATTTATAGAAGTACAAAACTTCTCCTCCAAGAAAAAAATAAGGCATATGAAAGAGATTTAATCTTTTTAGGAGTCTTTTTCCCTTTGTTCAAGAAAATGAGTCCTAATAGAATAGAAATTCATGGCAAAATCCGAACAATTTAAACTGTAGCTTTAACAGAAAATGAAAATCTTTGTAACATATTAAACGAAGATTGAAGACATCCTTGTGCTATATATTTATTTCATATAGAAGATTTGTACAAAAGAAAAGGACACCATAGATTCATCTTGCCTAAGAAATGGAAGGAGGCATTTCACAAAATGAAAAGTATGGGTTGTTTAGCAAATGATCCCTTAGCACAACCCTTTGATAGTACAAAAGGCAGGTCCTCATCTGCTTTACATCCAACAGGACAAGAGTGTAAAATAGACAAACGAGAGCTGTCAAAAGAGTCACTCTATCCTTATTGTTGATTCAAGATAATCTGACTGAACTCAAATGTTTATTCCAACACACAACAAGGGAAACATACTGAAAATTTGTCTTATCATTACATTTTTGCTATAACATGAGAGCTCGACACTCTGAGCGCGCTAATAGGTGTGACATAAACATTGGCGGAGCATTCATCCCCAACATCATTATTAGAAGCTTTTGAAAACCGGATTACTACATGAAACCGCAGATCCTCCACCAACATACTCAGATGTTCGTGGAAAATACAAATGCGCGCAACTGATAAACAATAAAATATAACAACATAAGCAGGAACACTCTGTTTTTCATAATTTCCTAGCTAAATCCCAAAATTATGTGACATCCATGCAAAAGAACATGCAAGCTAAAAAAAGAGCTACTACGAGAGTTGAGTTTGGTATGACTTGACAAGTCCAAAGGAGTAAATTGAAGCTGAGAGCATCAAACCTGTTAACTTTGGATACTCCCACAAAACCAAGAAAATCTTTTTTTTCTTCAAGATTTACAGGGTAATGGCATACTACAACAGCAGAATTCCAGGTCATGAAACACCGAATGGAACTTATTAGCTGTCGATATTAACTTACAATAAAAGTTAAAAAAAACTCAACTGCTGCTAAACTTGCAATTTGACAATATTAGGAGAGAGAAAAATCATAAAGTAAGACTCGGAGGCATCACATGGCAATCATATGCCAGATCCATCTTTCCCAGCCTCATTGCTGGCTGCTTCATTAAATGAGGCAGACAAATACTCAGCAAGGCTTTGCTGAGGAGTAGATTTTAGTGGAGGAGCATCTGGGATTTTAGCCTTTTTTGCGCTAATGGACTTTGGAAGCCAGGAAGATTTCTCAGATTCAGGGGTATCTAACTTGTTTGATGGAGCATTTAATGGCTTCCAGATAACTGGCTTCAACTCTTTCCATGGATCTTCTACCATAGACTTATTATAATACAAATTCGGTCTAGACTCTGCTGATGTGCATCCATGGGAACCTAATCCCCTCCTACCACGTTGAACCGAAACAGGACTTGAACTATTACCCATCCATTGGCTCCTGCCTTGCGCCGAACCTTGGTAAGGGCTGCCTCTATGTCCCGGACCTTGGTAAGGGCTGCCTCTATATCCCGAACCAGGATTACCCCTACCTTGTCCATAATGAAAACCAGGTCTTCCACCTTGATGAATGCCAGGACTGGCAAAGTTACCACCTATTGAAGAATTAGGTGGAAAGTAGTTGTTAGATGTGCCAAAAGAGCTATCCCATGCATTAGGGGAGCTTCTTTGTGGTGTGCCAAAAGGACTATTTTGCCCAGGGTTTCCAAGAGGATTAAAGGTATGATGGACTCCTTGTGACTGCGATCTTTGATCTACGGAATAGTTGCCTCGAGCAGTATAAATTGGAGACTGAGGGTTTCTTGGTCCTGAATAAAACCATGAAACAAATGTATTTTTATACTACAATATGTGACGAAAAATAGCACAAAGAGACAATCCAACGTGATGGCATTAGCCAGAGCCAAGCTAATCAGAGCAAACTACTCCCACCCTGATATCAATATTTCACATAACATACTATACAAGATATGGACAATTGGACGTATGAAAATCATCCCTTTATCACTAATAGGCCGTATCGCATATGGCATTAATCATGCAGCACACATCTATTATCCAATATGGCACTAGAAGTTAGACCGGACAAGACAACCTCTATCCATAAGAGACTGAAAGAATATAGAGCATCCCCACATCTAACACTATTTTACATTAGAAGCCTTTCAAAACCATATGGCATATCTCTACATGGGCACTGCTCATGAAGCATCTGAACAGACAAACTAAAGTTCAGCTGCATTACAGCCTTGATCTCAGATGGGAACAATCTTTTTCCATAGGCTAAACATTTGTTGTTTTTTTAACTGATCTCACCACACGCCTCTCATGAACCTTTTAAACTTTCTCCTCAATCTTATATGACACTAAAACCAAAGTATATATCCCACATAAACAAGATCAACAACTTCCAGAGGTTTAGCCAAAAGCTGGGCCAATACCAATAAGTTTTAAGCCGGCGTTGAAATTTGTCTTAAATTAAAACGTGAAAACAACATAAATTTTTCCCTGATATGGAATAAAGTTGTTTGCAACTTAGCTAATTTCTCTTGTGTAAAATATTCTCGTCTGTGCTTTGGCATATTGTAAAGCACTTTTTCCCAAACTGACACTTATCCCTCCTTAGAACATCGCCTCCTTTCAAGTTTCAACCCCAACAGGAAAAAAGAAACTGAAAAGTCATTTAAAAGACCTATTAAAAATCTCAAATGAGGTATCTTTGATGAGCTTAGACAAGGTTATGCTTAAAGAGAAGCAGCGACGTGAAATGAGGGGTTATCATTTGATGCTCTAGAGAAATGTGGCTCTTCAAAAAATGGAATGCCGAGTGATCCCAATCAGAAGCATTCTATTACTTGATTCTCAATTTAAAAGATGAAAAGTAAAAGAGGAGGGGACAAATGACCTTTTGCTATTTTAACTCATCTCCAGTTATGCTCATCATTCTCTTGGTTGTCCTTATCTTTTTGTTCTTCTCATTTTTGTAATGCATATTATAAAACTATTTATGTTGTGCTGCTTTTGATTTACTTCTTACTTTTTTTTCGTTTCCTTCAAACCGATTACTCTGTAAAAAGTTCTTTTTCTTCTAGAATGCAAGTCCTCATATATTCCTTATATATATATATTTTTTTGATAAGGTATATTGTATTAATCAAAAGGGAGAGAACTCCCGTATACAAGAAGTATACCAAAAAGTAGAGAATTTACATCAGAACATGATTCTCTACAAAAGACGCCCAATCTTCTATACAAATAAGGGCTATATGAGTGCACTATGGCTGTCCAACGGGACGGGACGGGACCAAATTAACGGGACGGGACGATATTTAAGCGGGACGGGACAAACGGGACGAAACGGTCGGCCCATCCCGTCCCGCTAACAAACGAGATGGGACGGGACGGGTTTGCGGGACTTAAGTGTAGTTTTTTTTTAATAAAAAAAAGTCTAGTTTTTTGAAAATGACTAAGTTCTTAAAGTTTACAATGGCTAGTTTTTTGACTTATTTAATAAACTTAAATGTTAAAAAGGAAATTAGAAAACTAAGTAAAGAATTATAAAATATTAAAACAATAGACTTGTAATGAAATATTCTAGTAATTGTAAATTTAAAATAGAGTTATAATTTATTTAATATAATTTCTAAGTATTAAGTAACTACGACAATTCATAAAAAAAATTCAACGCTTAGAGCCTATTATTTTATTAATAGAACTTTAAAATCTCACATACGAATATAATTCTTTTGAAGAGCACATATCCTACACAGCCACCTTCTAGGAAGGTTTTGTTTGAATTAGGCCTCTATGATCTCCGATTTGAAATATTGTTGCACTAACAGCATTCTCCGATGCTAAGAATCAAGTTCATCATCAATAGAGGAATCAAAACATGTTATATAATTCATATCTTCCAATAGAACTTCTACTCTAGACTTAGAAGTAGAAGGAGCAGTTTCACCACCTGTTATTTCCATAGATTTATATTTATCAAACATTGATCTAGATTCTAGCACAAGAATATATGTTAGCTTGGAAGTCTTCGAGAGATGGTTGTTCATTTTCTTGAATTGCTAAATTTTGATAAATTTTACGAACAAGTCCCTTTGTACCTCTTAATTTTAAATATGGTTTAAGTATTGTAGAAATTAAATAAACTTGGGGAATAGAGAAAAAATACATTTTAAATTTTGCAATCATTTCATTAATGGTCGGTGCATAAGTTGAATTTGTTTTATACTTACCAAATACAACAAAAATTCCACAAATATACCATAAAAACTCGCGGGACAGGCGGGACAGACGGGACGGGATGGGACGAGACGGGCGGGACAGGATGGGACGGGACGAAACGGGACGAAATGGGACGGGACAAACGGGACGAAATGGTCGTCCCGTCCCATCCCGTGTCCCGTTTAACATTGACCCATCTCGTTTAAAATGAAGTGGGACGGGACGGACACGGGGCGGGACCGGGACGGGACGGGCCGTCCCGTCCCGTTGGACAGCCATAGAGTGCACCAAAAAGCGATCAAAGATAAAAGATTATTCTTAAGATGTGAAAAAGGAGACTCAATCCCCTCAAAAGCTCTCCTATTTCTCTCCCCCCAAACTATCCACATGAGAGCTAACGGGGCGAACTTCCATGCCTTTTGCTTTCTTCTTCTACGGAAACCGACCCAGCTATATAGCATTTCCTTTACAGTGCATGGCATCACCCATTGAACACCAAAAAGGTTCAGGATCGCCCTCCACAAAGCCGAGGACACAGGACAATGCAACAAAAGATGATCAACTTCTTCCCCTGAGCTTTTACACATATAGCACCAACTATTGTAATTCCCCTCTTTCGCAGATTCTCAGCAGTCAAAATCACTCCCCTCACCGCAAGCCATGCAAAAAAAGGCACACCTTCGTGGGCGCCTTAGGAATCCAGATCGAGGAGTATGGAAAAGAGGCCTACTCTCTCACCAACATACTCTGGTAAAAGGACTTTACGGTAAACAGACCATCGCCACGCAAACCCCATCTCCAAGAATCACAAGATGGCTTAGGCCTGTCTTGCCCATATAGCAGTGTCAAAGAAATCTTGGAGCTCCGCAATCTCCCAAACTTGCATGTTCCTTCTAAATGAGAGGTTCCATACTTACCCCCCCCCCCAATCTACAT